AATAATTTATATTCTTACCATGTTTGCATTTGAACAACTAATTATAGAACGGCCTCTAATCCACTTGGAAATGGAAAAAATAGTGGGGCTAGAGCAGCGAGCCTTGCTGTGGTTTTATCAGCTGGGCAGCGGGCTGGTACCCACCCAGCATTCTCTATTGTCCGTCATGGATTAATCTTATGACCCCCCAGTTCAGGTTGCCTGGGTCTTTGGTTGCCAAGGAGATTTTCAGGGGGAAAGTGTGTGCTGCCTTTCAGGATCCCTAGGATTCTGTGCTCATGGGCACCCAGCTCTGATGCTCCTGAGCTAGTCCTATGCAACCAGGGTCCAGGTGGGTCACATGTGGACGGCCCTACCAGCTTCCCAGAGGCCCGCCTGGTCCTGGTGGGGAGGGAGGGAAGGACTGCTATCATGTCTACTCAGGCCTGCAGAGCTGGGTACCCTCTGCCTGTCCCCAGGGGCACCAAGCCCTTCCCCCTGCTGTCCCCAGCATGTCTGATAAGACCTGGGTGTGAAGTGCAGGGCTTGTCTGCCTGGTCCTCGGCTTCGCTTCTCCTTTCCGTTGTCTGTTCTGAGGCACTCCATGGCAGCTGCCCTCACAGGTCCTCAAAGTGGGCAGGCTGGCCCTGACCCAGGCCAAGGTCCCTAGGACCCCTAGCTGAGCACCTGCAGTGACCACCAGGCCAGTGGCTCCAGCTGCTCTGCTGCCCCATGGGCACCTCCTGCTTGCACCCTGCAGTCGTGGAAGCTGCAGCAAACAGGCCTGATTTTTTTCTGCTAACTTCTCGCCCGTGTGCCCTCACTCTACCTGATGCTCCAGCAGCGAGGTTGATGTGAGCTCTTTCTAAAGGTGACACCAGCCCGGCCTGCAGGACCGGGGGCAGCCCTGCCTCTCAGGCGCCTGCCCTGCTCGGGCCTGTGGATGCCAGGCCCTTCCCTTTCCATTTCTGACTGGTGCTCAGTGTTTCATCCCTGCTGGGCGTGTGGGCACCTGCAGGGCAGTTGTGTCTGTTCCGAACAATCCTCTTCTTTTCCACTTGTGTTCTCTGTTCCCTTCGTTCTTGATTTTTGACCAATTTTGTTGGTTTTGGAGACATTCTATTGTCTGGAGGGAGAGGCTTTTGCCACGTGCCCGGCATGTTGGCGTTACTGTGAAACAGGAAATCAGCCCTTACCTTTCTTTTTTAAAAATATTTTTATTGATTTCAGAGAGGAAGGGAGAGAGAGACAAAGACGGAGAGAGAAACATCAATGATTGGCTACCTCCTGTACACCCCATACTGGAGATCAAAGCCTGCAACCCCAGGCATATGCCCTGACCAGGAATCAAACCATGACCTCCTGGTTCATAGGTCAATGCTCAACCACTGAGTCACGCCGGCCGGGCAAGCCCTTGCCTTTCTTTTCCCTCAATAGTTTGCAGAAAGTTCTGGCACTATCTTCTCTCTCTCATCCGGGACATGGTGTGGGAACTCAGTCTTGCAGCTCGAGCTCAGTGGGAGCGGAACAGGCTGGTATTGGTCCCTGATGTGCAGTTAAGCTGCTGCTTTCCTTGCAGAGGTTTGCTGCATCCAGGATCACTTACTGGAGCCGGGACAGCTGTGTGGCGCTGCTGTGTGATTGGTAAGCTCACAGCTTCTGGTCCCCTCCAGCCTGTGAGAGCGGGAATACATGGATTGTTCCACTGGCCCCACATTCTGTCTCCTAACTCGGGAGGTTTTAGTTGGTATATTGGGACCACAGCTCCCTGTGGGGGCGGGGTATATGTCTCCCTTTCTGAAGTTGCTGTGGCGTGTGGGTGAGGGTTCTATAGGCAGGCAGTCTTTTACAAGCTATTTAAACACACTGGCTTAATGGACAGCAAGGCCTGGGACTGGTCTTTTGTGTGTGATCAATCTCACCTAAGGGTCGATTGTGGTAGAGTCTGCCTCAGTCAGTGCCAGCTGAGAGCGGTCTCGGTAGACCCCCCTGAAGGCCAGTGGTTGGTGAGCTGGATTAGATAGCACATGCCCTGAGCTGCTTCCTCCTGAGCTTCTTCCCTGTGCTCTGCTCCTACTTGTCCTCATAACAAGTCTAGGGAGGGCACCTTAGCTTGTCTTAGAAATAAGGACGCAGGTTTAGAGAAGGTGAAAGTGCCTCCAGGAGGTGTCCTGCCTGCTGCCTGCAGGTGGAACGGCTGGTTCTGTATTGGTGGTCCTTGCTGTATAACACGTGACCCCAGGACTTGGTGACTCGGATGGTCCTTACCTCACAGTCTGTGGCTCAGGGCTCTGGGAGCGCTCAGCTGGGTGCTTCTAGCTCAGGGTCTTGTGCAGTTGCAGCCAAAACGTTGGCGAGGACCGCGTCTCTGTCTGGGGCTGGCCCGGGCGGAGGCTGAGCTGCTGGTGGTGTGGGCTGTGGGAGTTGTAACGATCTCCCTCTCTTTCTCGCGGGAAGTGTCCCTGTGGTCTACATCTTCCAGCTGGAGGCCCCCAGGCAGCAGCTGGTTTACAAGCAGCAGCTGTCTTTCCAGCACAGAGTGTGGGACATTGCTTTTGAGGAGAGCCAGGGGCTGTGGGTGCTGCAGGACTGCCGGGAAGACCCCCTCGTGCTCTGCAGGCCTGTGGACGGCCAGTGGCAGGTGAGTTGTGCTGGGCCCCTGCTGTCCCCTGAGCCTGGGGTGGGGGGAGGGCCACAGCTCTCATACCTTTCAGCTGATCGAGCCTTGATGCTAGAGGGTGTCCTGGGTGGGCAGTCATAGGACTTGTGACCTGGGAGAAGGAAGCTGGGTACCCGGCCAACTTGTCCAGTGTCCTGAGCCTGCAGTGGCCTTTTGGGAGGCTCACCACCCCAAATTGGCATGTTTTCTCTGTTCCTGTCCTGGTCACACTGCTTTTTTTAAAAATTATTTTTAATCAGAGAAGCTGATACTTGGTGTGTCACATTCTTAAAGTTTGCAGCTTAGCATGGCCTTGCGCCTGGTGCAGTGGTCCCACTGGCTAGAGGAGCCTCTGGGTTTGGAGGAAGGCGCGTGGGCTGTGGGCGAGTGAGCCCCGCGCCTTCTCTGAGTCGGCCCCACATCCTGAAAGTGGGGGGTCCTCTCCTTCCTGTCCCGTGTCTGGCAGGACTGCCGTGGGAAGGATCCGGAAAAGCGCGCCTTTCCCATCCTTTACAGACGCTCGCTTGGCCGAGTGTTCGAAGGAACCACTGACCTTCCAGGGGTTTTTATCTGGAAAGTGGCAGAGAACAGAGTGCCACCAGCCGGTACCTGTCAGGTCTGCCAGGCTTCATAGATAAAGTCACACCCAACAAGCCAGTACGTGAGGTGCCAGCAGCCCTCGTGTCATGGGTTTTATCCTGACGAGATGTGGCTGCCGTGTTTGGTGAGCCAGCTTCACCTGGTCTCATGTAAAGATTTACGGGTTCTCTTCCCTGGCCCCGCAGTCCGGGCCCGGCAGGTCTGCCCATTATTGGGCCGGCAGCACCTTCTGATACAGGTTTTCCTTTGCCCCCCAGCCTGTGCCTGAAGATGCCACGGTGAAGAAAGTCTGCACGCAGCTCCGCGGGCACTGGGCCATGCTGGAAGGTGAGGGCGCGGCCTGTGTTCAGGGTAACATCCGCCAAAGCAGATTCTAGGACGAGGTGCACAGTAGGAAGCTGTGAGAATATAGGGGGTGTGGGGTGTGCGTGTGTCCCTGTCGGGGGCACTGAGGAAATAACCCATTAACCAGTTTTGACCGTCAGGACAGCCGAGTTGCATGTGACCTGCGGTCTGAATCAGAGCAGCTGCCGCCTTTCTGCCTCCAGAGCTGGGGTGGCAGGCCCCAAGGCAGGGCCAGTGCCTCTATGGCCCCCAGAGGGAGCCGGAGCCACCTAAGGGCCCCAGCTGGTGGCATGGAGCGGCTGCACAGTGCGTGCAGTTTCTGGGCCAGGAGACCAGGTGTGAGGACAGTCTCCGGGTCGCTGAGTCGCTGAGGGGTTTCACAGCCCAGGGCAGGTGCTCACAGGAACATTAGGCTGAGGGGAGAGGGGAGAGCAGTGGGAGAAGACAGGTCCCCCCCACCAGCCTCTGCATTCAGTGAGGGTGGCGAGGCTGTCAGTTCCTTGGGCCTTGTCTGTCACAGGGCCCACAGCTAGTTCTGAGGTGGCGGTGCTGGGGTCTGTCGGAGAGAGAGAACATGGTGCGACCCCATCTGTCTGCACTGGTAGAAGGCAGACCCCTAGTCACACAGCTCTTGGCTGTTTTCCCTTCTGCTACTCTTGGGGAGAGACTTGAAGCGACAGTGTCTGAAGGGGAATTTGTAGCTCAGCACTGGAATTCAGATGCCTTCATTCCAATCACGAAATTGATGCTCAGAAGAAATCTTACAAAGCCAGTCTGGGTTCCTGGGAGCTCTCGAGAGGGCCTAGCATGGATTCAGAGTCTCTTTACGGGAACAGTGATCTCAGTGTGCATGCGAAGCGTTCCCATGCGAAGCATTCCCCAGGTGTAACATTCTCCATGCAGAGCGTCCCCCAGGCGGAGTGTTCTCAGAAGGCCCATCGGCTCTGATTCCAGGGTTAAGTTCCATCCTTTCGCTTAGAGTTGAAGGGTTGGGGCTGTTTGGGTTTACGGGGGCCACACTGGGAAAGTGGACCTTCAGCAGGACTGTCAGGGACCCAGGTGGAAGCATCACTATGAGGCCCCTCCCTGGGGGGGTGGGGGAAGTCTTGGAGAGAGCACGGGGAAGGCGAGTTGACCTTGAAAATCACAGGACAGAAGGGTAGGGGAGCTGAGGGAGCTGGGAGGTCACTCCTGCGGGCAGATGAAGGTCATGCCTGTGGGCACAGGCCTGCGCCTCCCTGACGGGCCCTGTGGAATTCCTGCCGGGTGAGGGGGTCTCGAATAGCAGAAGTTTGTGTTCTCTTAGAAGCGAGTCTGAGATCCAGCTGTGTGGCTACCAGCGGGTGGGCCTTGTGAGAGTCACCTTGGAGAAGGCGCCACAAGTCCACAGAGACTGCGTGGTTGCGGGGTGGATTCCGTTGCAGGAGGGCCTGGCAGGCCCACCAGATCCCGCTCCTAGAGGCGGCGTCCCGCGATGTCCTGTGTCACCGTCCCACTTGGCATCTACTCTTGTTCCTCCCGCACAGGCTCTGCTGGTGTGGACGAGGGCTTTAGCAGTCTGTACAAGGCCACCTTTGACAACATGACCACTTACCTGAAGAAGAAAGAGGAGAGGTTGCAACAGCAGCTTCGGAAGAAGCGGCATAAGAACCCGCCCCCTGGGCCCAACGGGCAGACCAAGAAGGTGAAGACCGGGGAGGCCTCCTGGAGTGGCTCGTCCTAGCCCTGGTGCCGGCTTCTGGCCTCGAGAAGCAGAGTAGCTTTTGTCCCCTCCTTGCCAGCAGCTCCCTTTGAGGAAAAAAAGGGGCACATCACTGTCCACTCCGCTTGGTGGCAGTGAGGTCCATACAGCTCCCCAGACACCTGGGCTGGCCCAGTAACTGAGGGTGTCCTGGGCTCTAGAACATTCTGTTGCTGAGCAGAGGTGTCTTGAGCATCCTCTGGTTGCAGGGAAGCCAGACGGGGAGACACTGCAGGTGAGCAGCTCGGTGCCTGGAAGCACTTCATCTTCATGGTGGAGGACGTGTGAGCCTCTTCCCTGGCACTTGTTGGTTTTTCCACTCTTCCCATAATGCCACCCGTGCCGGGCACACTTCCTTCCAGGGGAACCCACACAAATGGTTTCACACCAGCGTGAGGGGCATTTTCATCTTCCCGGCAGCGGTCCTCCTGGGGGGTGGATTGCACTGTCCACCACGGCGCCGCTCCCCACGCAGGGCCATCAGCCTGAGCAGAATGGAGTCTCAGTTCCTCCCCAGCCTGGCCATGTGTTCCGTCCCACGCAGTGAGGGCTCCTGCTCAGCTGCAGACGTGCAGGCTTGGCGGACACACAGCGGAGAACTGGACTTTTTCAGGACGTGAGGACATGTAGAATATGGGAGTTCTACAGGGAAATGGTTGATGACATGTGTGTGGATTGATTTGAACCTTGCACACGTCACAAAGAGCAGGGTGTCAGCTGAATTCAAATCACCAATCAATAAAGACGAGCTTTTGCAGCTTCTGGAAATGTTTAGCAGCAACATGTGGAACTAATTTCAGAATACATTGAGCAAAACCGTTTTTGATGAGTGTACTGTGTGTGACCGAGCAGTGCACTCTTTGATTTGAAGAGAAAAGGTTTGGTGTGGGATTCATGAGGTGCTTGGAGACAAACTGTTCTGTGTATCAAAGCCGGAGTGCTTCACATTTTTCCTAAGTGCCTTTTTTACTTTGAACATTGATCTGAAAACGAAGGTTTGTGCCGCGCTCAGGATCGCTTCCCACAGGAACAGCCCCAAGCCGAGGGGTCAGGGACAAAACCAGTTCAGGAGCAAGGGGTGGTGCTCAGGCAGAGAGGGTGCCTGGGGTGAAATGGGGGTCACGGAGCAGACGGGTCCCCAGGTAGAGGGGATTGCCCGGGCCATGGTCCTCCTGCAGGAGGGGCCTGCCTGCTAGCACTGCATTGGGCCCAGGGGTGTTCTCATCAATAACCTGCTTTGAAATTCTTGGTTTTAGGAGAAATTGAGGTTTGGTCTTGTTAATGTCATGTCTTAAGACTGGTCAGCAAACTGGCCTGCAGACCAGATCCCGTCCACTCCTGGTTGTACAGGCTTCGAGCTAAGAATGGTTTTCACAGTTTTAAATGGCTGTAAAAAATCAAAAGAAAGGTAATACTGCAGGCTATATGAAAATCACATGCAATTCCAATTCCCATGTCCATAAATTAAACGTTACGGGGTGCGGCCACGCCTGTTCGTGCAGGTGTGTGGTCTGTCTGTGCTCCGTGGCAGAGTGGGGCAGCTGGCGGGAAGGACAGCCTGCAGAGCCTAAGCTGGTTACTGCCCAGCCCTTTCCAGAGAGTTTGTCCACACCTATTCATGCCCCTTTTAAATTCGTGAAATTTTCAAAAGGAACTGGTTCATTTATTTGGAAAAAACCCAACTCTGTTCTTCCTGTGTTCATCTTGAGCTTTTGCATCAAACACTCATGGTGTTCCCTGTGGGCAGGGAGAGCACGTGTCTGACAGGTCAGTCCTGGGCATCCCCGCCCAGATTGGGAGCGAGCCCTGAGGTGGGGTGTGGAGCGCGAGTGTCTAAGGAGTTCCTTTTGCTTACACATACCTGACAGTATAGGGTGGTGCCCAGAGCAAAGGTCAGTAGATCAGAGCAGAGTTGGGGGGGAACCACAGTCATCTGTCATTCTAATGGTGGTTTTTCTTTAAAAAAAAATTTTTTTTAAATTGATTTCAGAGAGGAAGGGAGAGGGAGAGAGAAACATCAATGATGAGAGAGAATCATTGATTGCCTCCTACATGCCCCCCCATATTCCCTCTACACCCTCCCCCCAACACTGGGGATCAAGCCTGTAACTCAGGCATGTCCCCTGACCATGAATTGAATTGTGACCTGGTTCATAGGTCAACGCTTAGCCACTGAGCCACACTGGCTGGGCAAGGGTTTAAATCTCTTAACTCTTTCCCTAGAACACCGTGTCCCCTTCCTTCCCTGACTTTAGCTTTTTGAGAAGACCAGGTCCACAGCCATCTCCTGATTTGCAAAGCAGTTTCTTGACTCATCAGTTGGCCTATTGTGGGAGCCAAAGAGTTGGTTTCCTCACACATTCCTGATGATATCTTTCTCACTTTTTCGATCCTTTTTTGGCTTCTACATGTTTTACTTTGGGGAGATTCCTTGGGCTTTGTTCCAACTTATTTATTTTTATATTTTTTTTAATTCTGTCAACATTTATTTGCTCTTCGGCCCCGCCTCCACTCCCCGTCTTATTTTTGTATTTTTAAATATTAAAATTTTTTATTGATTGATTTTTAGAGAGCGAGAGCAAGGGAGAGAGAACTATGAGTTTGTTGTTCCACGTATTTATGCATTCATTAGTTGATTCTTGTATGTGCCCTGACTGGGATCAAACGCACAACCTTGGCACATCGGGTCGATGCTCTAACCAACTGAGCTACTCTGCCAGGGTCCACCACATTTATTGATTTTAAAAAATTGGGTTATATTTCTTAATTCTAAGGGTTCTAGTTCTTTTTACATTTGATTCAAGTGCAGTATACAAGAAGGGCATCTGGAAAGCACAAACTGAAATTTCACTGGACACATGTGACAGTCTCCACCAGAAACAGGACATTTACCCACAGCTGAGAGGCCCCCAAGTTCCTTCTTACATCCCTTTCCCCCGCCCACCCCCCCTTCCCCAGTGAAGGCCAGGCCCATTTAACAGGTTAGTTTGCTTTGGCTCAGCTTTTTGGGTGAGATTCATTTACATTGTTGCACTGGTTGTAAATTGTTCATTCTTGTTGCTACATAGTATTCCCATATGCGGAAACACCACAATGTATCCATTCTGCTAGCAACTGGCATTTGAATAGTTTCCAAACCGGCTGCAGTGCACATTCTGGTCCTTGTCTTTTGGAACATATGTAAACATTTATGTCCGCTGTATGTTCAGGAGCGGGGTTGCTGGCTCACAGTTGTTCAGCTTTGGCGATGCTGCTGATCCTTGTTAATTCTAACCCCACCACAGAACGTAAGATTTAGTGCATCTCATGCTCTACATTTGAGGCGATGGTGTTGACTTTTGCAAAGGCACAAACTTGAGAGCATGGGAGTCAGTGAAGCTGCCCACCTGTCTGTCCTCCACACTGAAACTTGATCTTGCTCTGGGCAAGGTCACCTTAAAAGCAACGTGGATGGCCCACTTTGGGGGATGCCAGCCATAGGTCATGAGCACACTCAAGCCACCTGCGAAGAGGTCAGCATGGCAAGGAGCTGAGATCTGCCAACAGCCGGCGACTGACCGCCCAGACTGAGCCGTCTTGGAAGAGCTGCTTTCTCTAAACAGAGCACCGTGGGTTCCTCCCCGCAGCACCATTTACCCGAACCCTTCCGTGTTGACATGTATTTTTCTTTCTAATTTCCCTTGTGATTTCTTCGATCTATGGGTTATTTGGATGTATGGTTTAATTTCCAGACATTTGATTCTTTTTTCTTCTCGTTACTGGTTTCTGGTTTTAATTCCATTGTGGTCTTAGGGTATATGCTGACTTCATTCCTTTAAAAGTTACTGAGCTTTGTTTTCTGCTCCACAAACGGTTATTTTACGTGCCCTTGAAAATAATGTGTCTGAGTTGTTGGCTGGAGGAGGGTTTGTAAATGTGGATTAGGCGATACCAACTTGAAAACTACCATCTTCCTCATCTTTGTGCACGTCTGTTATTGAAAACAGTATTTAAATGTCTGTAATTGTGGCTTTGTCTAATTTTCCATTGTCCTACTGGTTTTGCTTCATGGATTTAAATATTCTGATATTTGGTTTGTACACACCTGGAAATTTGTTATCTTGAGGAATGACCCCATCTTCATGAAACATCCTCTCTTTATTTCCAGTTCTGATCTTTGTTCTGAAGTATAAATTGATGTTAATGTAGCCACTCCAACTTTCTTTCGTCAATGCGTGTTAGCGTGGAATTTCCTTCTTCACCCTTTTTTAACTTGTTTGCATTTATACTTAAAGTGGGACATTTGTAGACCATGTGCCCTTAAAAAAAATCCCCAGCCTGGCTGGTGTGGCTCAGCAGTTGAGCATTGACCCAGAACCAAGAGGTCTCCAGTTCAATTCCCGGTCAGGGCACATGCCCGGGTTGCGGGCTCGATCCCCAGTAGGGGGTGTGCAGGAGGCAGCTGAGTAATGATGTTTCTATTTCTCTCTCTCCTAAAAATCAACTAAAAATTTTTTTAAACAAAAGAAATCAGTTAAAAACCCAACCCCAAGTCATTGGATTTCAATGGAAGTACAACCTGAGCCACATAAGTAGTTGGAAGTGTCCCAGCTTTGCAAAGTTTTTATAAAGCAGGTGAAATAAATTTGAGAACATAGTCCATTTAAGTCAGAACAGCAAAAATAGTCTCAACACATAACCTATGTAGTTATTCATGAGCTACTTTATGTTCTTTTTAATCCTCATGTTGCAGGTTTGCCTTCTCTGTGCAGCTCCCCCTCTGCAGACTTTCTGTCCCAAATTCGAATTGCCTCGGCCTCCGAATTCCAGTGTTGGTCTCCCCTCGGTGGTCAGGCTCCGTTTGGGCTTGTCCTCCCTGGGCTGCGGTCAGAATCCCTTCCAGGCACAGATCCTCGAGGGTGTGTCTGCCTTTCTTAGGGACCACCGACCGGAGCAGCCGGCTTTCCAGCTGGTCTGGGTGGTTCCGGACCATTGTCTCCCATGGTCCTTGTTGCGATTTGAATTTACGCTTA